CTTTTAGAAGATTTTTGTCCAGTTGAAGAAGCATATTATAGACAAATAGCTACCATGCAAGGAAAAACAGAATAAGTTCAGTGTAAACTGCTAGAGTGGTGCAAAGGGAGGCAAGGAGGAAGCTGCTCTGCAGTGATCAGTGACATTATTGTGGAAGATGACATTCGAGCCGAAGCTTGAAGGGTTTCATTAAATAAGAGATGGGGACAGGAAACACTCCAGACAAAGGCTGAAAAAGCAGATTAGGGCCAGTGGTGAATTTTAAATAAATACTTCCCTCCATTATTTCCCATGTCCCCTCCCTCATCAGGCTGGTTCTACTGACCCTACAAGTCTCAACTTGAATGTTACCTCAGAGGTGAGTATTCCCTTTCCCTGGACACCTTCTCTAAGCAGGCCCCTCATTGCATCTGCCCCTATCACTGCATCCTGTGCACCACTTAACTGCATTTGTCCTAACATGTATTTATTTAGTCATTTCCCTCTCTGCTGTCCCCCCAGTAAATTATAGGCCCTTTAAGAACAGACTGTGTTTGTTTTATTCGTCATTGTCTTTCCAGCACTAAACTCACTGCCTACCAATAAGTGCTCACAAAGCAATAGTTCTTTTTTGTTGTTGTTGTTTGTTGAGACAGAGTCTCACTATGTCACCCTTGGTAGAGTGCCATGGAGTCACAGCTCCCAGCAACCTCAAACTCTTGAGCTTAAGAGATTCTCTTGCCTCAGCCTCCAATTTAGCTAGGACTACAGGTGCCAGCCACAATGCCCAGCTATTTGTTGTTGTTGTAGTTGTCGTTGTTTAGCAGGCCCCGGCCAGGTTTGAACCTGCCAGCCCCAGTGCATGTGACTGGTGCCCTAGCAGTTGAGCTATAGGCGCAGAGTCCAAGCAATAGTTCTTGATGCTACAAGGGTAGGGGCAGTGATGACAACAAACGATAACATTGAAGATATTGTAAAGAATCAACAAGTTTTGATAGGAGATTGGATGTGAATGACCAAAGGATGAAGATCAGGGTTTGAGCCTTGGTGACTAGGACAATTGGTGGCACTTTAGGGTGGGGGAAGGGGGAGCAAAAGGGTCATAGCTGCAGACTGGGAGAGCCCATAGAAAGGGCAGGGCAGGGCAGCACAGGGCTGAGGAGAAATGAAGTCAACTCTCTCCTGTCGAGGGTCTTTTTTTTTCTTTTTTGAGACAGAGTCTCACAATGTTGCCCTCGGTAGAGTGCAGTGTCATCACAGCTCACGGCAACCTCAAACTCTTGGGCTTAAGCGATGCTCTTGCCTCAGCCTCCCGAATAGCTGGGACTACAAGTGCCCCCCACAATGCCCAGTTATTTTTTTGTTGTAGTTGTCATTATTGGTTGGCGGGCTCAAGCAGGCTCAAACCCACCAGCCCCACTGTATGTGGCTGGTGCCCTAACTCCTGAGCTACAGGTGCTGAGCCCGTGGAGGGTCTTTGAATTCCATAATTGGGAGCTAATGGCTGGCCTCTTAGAGATTTAATCAACTTGTGTGGCATCAACAAATGATGCCCAGTAAGGAGGAGCGAGCAGGTATAAGATTAAGCTCAGAAAAAAAACAAAACAAATTTTAAAAAAGGTTCAGCTCCAGGTGAGAAGACAGCAATGTGAAAACAAGGAGCAAAGAAATGAAGCAAATGAAGAAGAGAGAAGTGTTATAACAATGAAATGAGATCCCAGAGGAAGTTCTCGATAAAACAAACCCCAAAACTTCACATTCACCACAGGTTTGGACACAGTCAAATCCCATCCATCCAAGGGTGAGCCACAGACTACACAGACTAGTGGAGCTCTTCTTTATCAAGCACCTTCTATGTGACAGATGCTGCACTAACTGCCGGGGGGTATGAACAAGATGGTCTCTGCTCTCAAAGAGCAGTGCAGGATAGTAAGACAGATGGAAAGAGATAGGGAAAGGTATTCTAAAGAGGGCAAAGGGGCAGGTGGCCCTGTTGTGCTCAGGAAAAGCTACTGCAGCCAGCTAGCCTGTTTGGTTCTCAGCTCTGCAATCTACCAGTTGCACGATTGCCATGTGCCTCAGTTTCTTCATTTGGAAAACAGGGGCAATACCAACACCTACTTTCTAGGGCTGTTTTTGGCAACAGGTAGAATTAGTATGCCTATAGCACTTAGTACAATCCCTGGCACATAGTTGGCAGGAAATAAATGTGAGGTGTTAATAGTGATGACAAAAGGCCTTGCAGGATATAAGAGAGCACAAAGGGAGGAATGGCAAATTCTACCTATAGGGTGGGAGGGAAGAAGTGGTGGTGGTTCAAGAAAGGCAGAACAGAGGAAATAAATTCTTGGATCAAGTCTTAAAATGTTAAAAGAAGGCTTCCAGGAAAGCAAGATGAGGCAGCAACAAGGGCATTTATGCGCACAAACAGAAGCATGAGCTAAGACCCAGGGCTGGGTGCATTTAGGGAACTTAAATGCCAGAAGCAGCGGGGGATACAACAAAAGAGGCAGGAGAGAAAGGCCTAGGCCTGATGATGGATGACCCATGCCAAGGTGTGACTTCTTCCTGTGGGTAACAGGGCTCTGTGTGAAGGAGACAGCATGTGGGCTAGCTGATTCTGTTAGCTTGGGGCAGACAGGAAGGCTGGACTCTCCCATATGCTCTTTACTGAGGGAACACAGGTCTGAAGCCCACTTTCAAACCACCTGGTCTCCAGTTTCTCAAAGAGTTAGACACTTGTAATTAGACTGCCAGTGACAACGGAGAGATGGCCATGCAGGTAGCTCACCCAGTGTCATGTGGAAAAAGCCACCAGTGTATATCACACTGTGCACAATGGGAACAGCTTTGCAGAGATAATCTAGTTTGGGCTTCACTGTTAAAAGTTCTTCTACTTTCTGGCACAGCACAGGTATCAACATCCTGTTCATTGGGGAGGAACCAAGGTATGCAGGAGCCAGTTCTATTTCTTGGAAGTGATGGAGAAACAAAAAGGCTTTTGAGCAAATTAGAAATTGCACTTCAGAAAGTTATTTGTAGGCTCGGCGCCTGTGGCTCAAGTGGCTAAGGCGCCAGCCACATACACCTAAGGTGGCGAGTTCGAATCCAGCCCAGACCCGCCAAACAACGACAGCTGCAACCAAAAACGGCCAGGCTTTGTGGCGGGCGCCTGTGGTCCCAGCTACTTAGGAGGCTGAGGCAGGAGACTTGCTTGAACCCAGGAGTTGGAGGTTGCTGTGAGCTGTGATGCCACAGCACTCTACCCAGGGGGACAGCTTGAGGCTCTGTCTCAAAAAAAAAAAAAAAAAGAAAGTTATTTGTTATGATAATATCCTAGAGCTGCTGAGAAAATGCCTAGATGGATGAAAGGATTCAAGGCCATGAAATCCTAGTTGGGTATAGGGATAAAAGGTAATAGTTGGGAATATCAAAACTGAATGAGCATTTCCAAGGCCCAAGATGAGGTTGTCAGGCACCTAGGCTGGCTTTTGACTTCAGCAGTAACTTGTTGGCTTTCCTTGGGAAAGCTAATAGCTCTCTGAACACCTTCTCATCTCTTTGCTACAAAGGTTTTCTGATGCCTTGGGCTTCCAGTGGTTGATACCAGGCAGGGGTTAAGCCTGTGGAAGGGGCTCCATTGGTATTTAACTACTGACCTTCCTGCTCAAGACAGTGTCCTTTCTCAGTCCCATCCTCTTTTTCATGGCCTTGGCTTGCTCAGGATACTTCCCCCTTAGAGTCTGCCCCGGCCTGCAGTTCAACTCCCACTTTCTTTTGCTTTTTTTCCTTTCATCCTCGAGTCCTTCAACTTCCACACTTGCTTCAGGTAAGGATTTTGATTTTATTTTCTACTTTATAGAAGACTTCCAACTTAAGATAATGTTGATCATTTCTGCTTGAATAAATGTTTTATTTAGTCATGGCTATTGAATTATGAACATTTTAAGGTTTGATAATATGATTCTTCCTGTTAGAGATGAAGTAATTGAGAAACATTTCACTGCAGTGTTGGCAGCAGAACTGGGAGGAGAGCCTGTGTCCATTGCTTGCTCAGACAAGGCTCTCCCCTTCAGATCACAACACAGTGCAACATCAAGAACATGTTCTTCCCTTTGGTGTTTCCAAGTTGCCCAGTTTCTTCTTGTGTTGGGGCTTAATTCTCTTCAGCTGCACCTCCTCTAGGAGGGCCATCAACTGTGACGATAGAGTCTTCACACAGTGTGATTACAGGCCGAATCTTTGGTCCCTTTGCTCTCAGGAGTTGGATTTCCTTAAACCCCTATGGAACTCTGTGGGGACTCCCTTTTGTTGAGCTGCTTTCTAGAAAATGAGAGAACATGGGAAAGGAAGCACCCTATACATCATAAAGCACCAAAGTAAGGGTTCTCATCCTTATTATGGCTCAGCCCAGGCATACACATTTAGGTGGCTCATTGATCATGTTGCTCTTGACCTCATGAACTATGGCTTCAGGCTTCTCCACCCTAATTGTAGAAACATTGGCCAGGTCAGGAACACTTGCTCTGAGCACTCCTTTTTTCAGAGGGTTTCAGAGATGACTGCTGCTCTGCTCTGCAAACTGGGCCCATCCCACTCTCATTTCTGGAAATGCTGGTAGCTGGCAGGCCACCTTCTCTTACCATTTTTCTCACCCAGTTTTCTGCTATTAAGCTGACTCCTGCTTTCTCTAACAAACATCTCTGCTGCAGCAGGCATCCCCATTCTTGTGTGCCTTTTGAGAAAATATCAGCATTTTGCCAAGTATATGAACTCCCATCTGGTTGGTGCTGTTTGAGGCAGCATCTGGGGCTGGCGTAGAAGACCCAGCATGCCACTTTCACAAAAGACCTGTTACCACCCAGGGGGCTATTCCCATCTTGAGGACCAACCAACTCAGTTAGCTGATCATCACTAAGGAAAGAGCTTTTTAAGCCTCCAAAGATTTGGGACATTTTTCCCACTGCTAGGCTCCCACACTCTCTTCTCAACTACTTCAAGAAGGTCTCTGAGCCACACAGTTCATTGCAACTATCGTTTATTAAAAAATATATGTCTCCTTGGAAGGAACACTGGGAAACCAACTAGTGCCATGCTTACTTTGAATCTTTGCTTTTCTTCCCTGGGGGGTTGGGTTGAACATGGTTCAGACATCACCACTTAGTTAACATCAGAGTATCAATACTCCCTATTCACCCCCTCCTCACCAGAGTCACAATCAGCTATCACTTTATCCCTCTTTGCCTTCAACCCAGTGTACTGCCCAGGGAAAGCTGCTGCCCTTTCTTTACCCTCATTCTGGGCCCCAGATTTTACAGTTAGCCTCATTATGCTGGTAGGATAACTGTTTACAGATTTCCCAAATTTGGCTGGTAGTGCTTAAAGTATCTTCAACATTGTGTCATTTGCACCGGCCCTAACCCAGCAGGCTAGGAAACAAGTGCCCCAACCCTAGGGTCAAGCATTTCTATGTTCTCCCCTGCATCATCCCTCCAGTGTGGAGGTGAGGGAGGCACATTGGCTTCAAAGGAGCACAGTGGGGTGGGAGAGGGCCTGAACCACACCTGCTGCCTGCACTTGTGGTAGGCAAAAAACTCCCTTGACCACAGTCACCGCCATCAGACTCTGGGAAAAAGCAACAAGGTTTCACAGCTCGCCAGTAAGTGAATCCTAGTTCTACAGCTCAAATGTACAGCATTGAACACTACTTTCTTCATGAAGAAACTGTAAGCTACCAGCTGTTGGGGAGGGGGCTGGGGCAGGGCACATGAAGCAGCTGCAAAAAAAAAAAAAAAAATCAAACTCATGACATGGCTGGCCAAGCCAAGTGCTGTTCTGCTGTCCCAGCACAGAACAGGAAGGTAACTGACTCCCTGCCTCTGTTGGTGGGCTGTGGGAAGAAACCTCAGCAGAGCCCAACATGTCCTTGGCAGGTGAATGAAGGGACAGTGTGGCAGTGCAGAGCCCTGGCTCCTCCTTTCAGCCCTCACCAGCCCCTGCTCTCCTTTCCGCTGATGGGATGGCTAGGCCTGGATCACCTGCTATACCATAAGGCCTGGCTCCTTTAGGACCACAGAAGCCTTTACAACACTGGCAAATTGGATTCTACGCATTCACTTAAATAGTAAAAGTAAAATTTGCAATAATGAAAAGGCTGACACAGTAGCACAACATGGTTTTGGTTTAACAGCAGCTTAAAAATGAACAAAATGGAAACCTCTCATGCAGACACATCAGGTGGCATAAAACAATAGGCAATTTCACGTGGAGCATCAATAGCCATTCTTTCTCTTTCTGCACACAGGACTGACTGCGCCTCAGGGCAGCAGATGCTTTCTGGTTGTCTCCACCCTCTCACCCCCAGGCAAAAGCTTTCTCTCAGGCCTCAGGCTGATTCCTCCTAGAGTAAACCTTAGCTCTCAAGAGAAAGACCAAATACGAGTGCCCTTAGTGCAGCGCATACTACCCTTTTCAATCCCTTCCCAACCAGCTGGGATAGAAAATGCCATCTGATTGGAATAAGAAAATTAAAGCATTTCTCTGATAACATAGTACCATTGATGAAGTCTCCATAAATTTTCTAGTCCAAATGTGTGTGAATATATATATATATATTATATGAGAGTGTATAATATATATATATAATTTCTATATATTTTATATAAATTACATATATATATCTATATATAAATAAGATACTTTCTGTTGCCATTACGTCGCACTGTTCAGAGCTGCAGACAGCAGTAGAGATAGGTAGAAATGCCCAGGAGCATCTCATCATGTGGTGCATTTAGCTCACTTCATAAGCTGTGCAGCTGTCCAGAGTCTGTCTTTCCATCAGTCCTCCTCTCTTCTCTTCGCTTCTGCTTGGATTTTATGAAAACAATGGCTCTGATGGATTTGCACCTGTGCTAGTGCTTGGGAAAGGTCCATGCAGGAATGGGCACAGTCACATGATGAGTGAGATGGCATCATCCCAAAAAATAAACTAAAACAAAACAAAAATTAAAAAAACAGGACTAGAAAACTCAATTTTTTTTGACAAATCTAAAAAAGGGGACAAGAACAGTAGCATTTGTTCTCCCCATGGGGACAGGAATGAAGAGGGAGGAGGGAAGAGGGACTTGATTTCTTCTGTTCACAAGAGAATGGTTGGAGGGGATTCTTCAGAGTTTTTCAGGGGATGGGACCCAAATGTAGTGCCCAGACTGGTCCTCAATGATTTGTTTGATTTTGTTATAAATCTCTTCCAGTGAGTCACCCTGTACAATGGCTAAAGTGAAGAGGAAAACAAAATTATTACTGTGGTCCATAGCACAACCCCCAAAACCCAGTAATCCTGCCTCTCCCAACAATCCTATGATGCTGCCCACCCAGCCCGAAGGGCATGCTCATAGGATATGAGTTTGGGTTTGGCTTCACTAGCTGACTTGCCGTGTTGTCAGGGAAGTGAGGGGAACTGGCTAGGTGCTCCAAGCCCAGGGCTTAAGTCAACTGGCTTAGACCAGTCACACTAAGTAGCAATGACTGGAAAAATGTTCTTTATTCAAAAGATGTTTATTAAACACCTAGTACATGCTAGACCTTGCAGCTCATGTTGCTCTTGGATGCCATAAGGCTGGCAGCTTATAATTTTAAAGCAGCCTTAATAAAAGACTTGGAAAATCCCCATTATTCACAGGAAGAGCTGAAAGCCACAATTTCTAGCAAGAAGCAGTGCTCCTGGGGCCATCGCATCTGCTGGATGTCAGAGGTCAGTCCACCAAACAAGGACACAGATACTGACAGTAAAGACAGCAATAAAGACACAAGGTGTGCATATGCATTTATGAATTCTTTACCTAGTTAACCTAGTAGCGCCACCAGGTAGAACTGACTCAGCATTGCCCTACACGTACATATATGTCACTCTACTTGAAAAGGTAAGGAACTTACTACATAGAAACCTTCCTACCGTTTTAGGAGTGGACCATGTGGGCGGCGCCTGTAGCTCAAAGGAGTAGGGCGCCAGCCCCATATGCCGGAGGTGGCAGGTTCAAACCCAGCCCCGGCCAAAAAAAAAGGAAAAAAAGGAATGGACCATGTAAACACACACACACACACTACACTCCCTGACAGACAACTTTAACACCACAAATCATCATTTATCAACAAACGTTTATTTACCACCTAAAACATGAAAAGCACAGTGTGGGGGTGGATCTGGGAAGGAGGGAAGCAAAGTAATACAGAGAACCTACAAACTACCAGGGACAAGAGGACAAAAATGTGTTTGGTAAGTAGTTTATGCTCTAAATTGGCTAAACTGCTATGACTGGACAGAGGGAATTTGAGTGCTTTGGAAAAGTTTGCTCTCAAAATTTCAGATGCAACAGGAAACTCTGTGCAAGGTTTCTAAATTCTGTTTAAACCTCTTTGAGTCACTTATCAAAACAGGTATCCGGCTGATCACACAGTACCCTCAGCTAGGCAGCAGGGATTCTTACCTGTAAAGTACTCTCCAAACTCCTGCTCTAGTTTCATGGCTTTGTCATAGACCTTATTTGCTTGTTCATATGTCTGCCTTCGGTTCATTTCCCTGCCAAAAACAGAAGAAAAATAATTCCAAACTAGTTGATATGTTTTGAGTAACTAAAGGATTATTCTAGGATCCCTAAAATCTGCTAAATTGCCCTCTCAGAGCAGCAGTGGCCCATGGCTAACTCCTTCCTCAAACCTTCCAGGTTCAAAAGCCCAGGTGGGTATATATATATATATATACACACACACACACACACACACACACACATATATATATAGATAGATAGATAGATAGATAGATATACACAGATACTCAAAACAGAAGGAGTGGCTCATGCTTGTAATCCTAACACTCAGGGGGGTCAAGGTGATAGGATCTCTTGAGGTGAGGAGTTTAAGATCAGCCCGAGCAAGAGTGAGATGCCATCTCTACTAAAAATAGAAAAAAAAATTAGCTTGGTGTGGTGCTGTTTGCCTGTATTCCCAGCTACTCAGAAACTGAGGCAGGAGGATGGCCTGAGCCCAAGAGTTTGAGGTTGCAGTGAGCTACAGATGCCACTGCACTCTAGTCTAGGCAACAAAGCAAGACACTGTTTCAAAAAACAAAACAAAACAAACAAACAAAAAAACCCCTAGCAGTGCCCACAGCTCAGTTTGGTAGGGCACTCACCACATATACCCAGGCTGGTGGGTTCAAACCCAGCCTGAGCCAGCTAAACAACAATGACAACTGCAACAAAAAAACAGCTGGGCATTCTGGCAGGTGCCTATCGTACCAGCTACTTGGGAGGCTGAGACAAGAGAATCGCTTAAGCCCAAGAGTTTGAGGTTGCTGTGAGCTGTGATGCCACGGCATTCTACCGAGGGCGACATAGTGAGATTGTCTCAAAAAAAAAAAAAAACCCACAAACCAGAAGGAACACACACTGACTGGAGCTGGGTCACAAGGGTTTCCTTCAAGCTTGCACTGAGTTCTATCCACCTAACAATTCACTTTATTGTCCATTTCCTTTCCAGGGCCCCATATGGATGGAGTGTATCTTAAGTCTCAGCAAACACTTACATAAGAGCTTCAATGGACTTGGGTTTGATGAAAACGGCAATAGGATAAAGTTGTGCCTGCTGCAGTCTCTTGATAGCATTGCCAGAAACATCTAAGATGCAGTGCTTGCCCTGAAAAAGCAAAATTTTATCAGCCCAGCCACTCTCTGTCCACTTAACCCCAACCAGAAAGTCAGTGACATTACAATATACACATGGAACCCAGGGACACCAAGAATGGCCAAGGAACAGGGTTATCCAACCTTTTCTTTTTATCTGCTGCACATTGGAAGAATAAGAGTTATCTGGGGGGCAGCACCCGTAGCTCAGTGGGTAGGGTACTGGCCACATACACAAAGGCTGGTGGGTTCGAACCCGGCCCAGGCCAGCTAAAACAACGACAAGTGCAACAAAAAAAAAAAAAAATAGCTGGGCGTTGTGGCAGGTACCTATAGTCCCAGTTACCTGGGAGGCTGAGGCAAGAGAATCACCTAAGCCCAAGAGCGGGGGGTGGGGGGGGTTGCTGTGAGCTGTGACGTCACAGCACTCTACAGAGGGCGACAAAGTGAGACTCTGTCTCTAAAAAGAAAAATACAGATTTTTTTTAAAAGATAAGAATATAGATAGAAATTTCACCTGCTGACATATAAAAATTCATCTAGTCCAGACGCTGTAGTATCCAGCTGGACTAAATTAACTTGCACCTGGGTTAGGCTCATTCTTGAGAAATGGCTGCTGAATCCAGACTCAGTCTAGCAGCTCCCTCTCAGTTGAAATCCAATCACGTCACTTCCCTTCTCCAAACCCTCCAATGGCTTCTCCTCACACTTAGAATAAAATCCAGAGTTTCCCTCTGTGAGCCTGTGTGACAGGGCTTGTCTCTTCCTTGTTTCTGCCTCTCTCCAAGAGCCTCACAATTCAAGCTACACCGCGGCCTCTGGCAGGTCCTTCAACAAGCCAGCTCCTTCCCTCTTCCGGGCCTTGGCACTCACTGTTGGCCCCACCGGGAACTTCCATTCCCAGCCTTCACCCTGCCCCCTTCCTCCCCTCTCTGCCCCCAGCTGTCTCCCAGACTGGATATAGGTTTTGCTCAAAAGGTCACCTCCTTCAAGAAGTCTTCACTGATTTTCTTGGAAAAGAATCCTCCAGTCACCAGCCTTGGATTTCCTTTCTCTTCCTTACTTTATTTTACTACTCTGCACATATTATTAACAGAAATTGCATTACATTTTTATTTTTTTTTTTGCAATTTTTGGCTGGGGCCAGGTCTGAACCCACTACCTCCAGTATATGGGGCCAGCGCCCCACTCACTGAGCCACAGGTGCTTCCCCATTTTTATTATTTTTTAGTATCTGTCTGCCCTACTGAAACATGAGCTCCAGAAGAAGAAACTTTCTTGGCTCAGCACCCACACCTCAGTGGGTAGGGCACTGATCACATACACAGGGGCTGGCAGGTTTGAACCAGACCAGGGCCGGCTAAATAGCAATGACAACACAACAGCAACAACAAAAAAACAGCCAGGCACTGTGACCGGTGCCTGCAGTCCCAGCTACTTGAGGGACTGAGGCAAGAGAATGGCTTGAGCCCAAGAGTTTGAGGTTGCTATGAGCTATGATGCCACAGCACTCTACCAAGGAAGACATAGTGAGATTCTGTCTCAAAAAAATAAAAAAACAAGAAACTTTCTCCAAGGTACCCCCAACTCCTAAAGCAAAGCCTGGCAGCAGACAATATTTAAGAAATAAAACACCCCTGCTGGGAGAGATAATAGGCCCTCACTCAAACCTGTTTCAACACTATCACTATGAACAAGTCCTTCCAGCATCTACCTCAAGTCCCTCTTGTTACAATAAATCCCCATGGTCTTTATTTAAATCCCAGAGTGATGGACAGTGGTCAACCAATACCCTCTGCTAAGTGATTCTTTTACATTACAGACTTTTGAAGGTAAAATGGGGCCTGAGCTGTAACCTACTCCGATCCTTTTGTTCTGAAGCTGAGGACTCAGGTGCTAAGAGGTTACCTGGGTTCTCCAAGCTCACTCAGAAATGCTGCACATCAGCAGACCTGGGACCACTTACAGGTGCAGAGTGCCTTATCCATCTACGGACGCCAGGCCTCCACAAACGATGAGCTCAACAGAATTGCTCCCCAGGCACCAGTGCCCTCAATCCACTCTCGGTGCTCATTTGACTGAACTGCATGCACTTCCTCTCATTAACCATCCCAACCATGACTTCCCATCCGAGAGCCCAGTCACTGAGTCACGTGTCATTACTTCCTGTCCTCTCTCCATTTCAAGTGCAGTCCAACAACACACCAGGCACAACAGTGAACTTGAGGTCTGGTTTGATTCTAACATCATTCAAATAGCCCAGCACAGAAAACACATAAGAAAAAAGTGGTTATGCAGGGGCGGTGCCTGTGGCTCAAGGACTAGGGTGCCGGCCCCATATACCCATATACTGGAGGTGGTGGGTTTGAAACCAGCCCAGCCAAAAACTGCAAAAAAAAAAGTGGGTATGCAAAGCAAACTTAAAAAAAAAAAAGACAAAAGAGCTTAACTCCATGATGGTACCTTTGGCTCAGTAGGTAGGGCACCAGCCACATATACTGAGGGTAGCAAGTTCGAACCCGGCCCTGGCCAAACTACAACAAAAAATAGCCGAG